CATGATTTGAGTCCTGGACCTGGCAGCTTGGGAAATATACTGGGTGCATGTGCATGCATTCCCAAAATCCCAAGAAGAGAATGGAGAAGGAATTGAGATGTGGCCATCCCCCCGGGAGTGATTTCTGACTTCCCTTCTCCTCCTCCACCGCATCTCTCTCTGGTGAGTACATGTGCCCTATAACAACAACAAAAAGTGGTACAATGGGAACGAACCTGGAGGAGGAGGATGAGAAGGAACAGTAAGAGGGGAAGAAAAACCAAGAAAAAAATCATGATAGAATGGGGAGCAGGAAGCCTCAGACCAGTAGGAATGGCAGTATGAACTGTTGAAGAGCCATCTTGTCTGTCCTTTCCCAGGCCAGACTGTTTTTGGTGTGGATGTCTATGGGGACCTGGGCAAGTTCAAGAACGGAGCACAGGGATACTGGTGACAATTCTTAAGATTTAGGAGATGGATAGAGTGACCCCAGTAGAAGATAGGATCTGAGAGGGAAGCATCTCGTTCAACTCATTCTCCCAAGAGTGACCTTCCACTCAAACTGATGTCTTCTGAAAACCACACTGAAGCCACGTTGGAGCTAGGCGAGGCTGGTAAGTTGAAATGAAGGGTAATTATCACTGAGGGTATTTCCCACTGTACACCAAGCCTCAGTGAGCAGCTGGCACACCTGTCCATCTTCCTTCTCAGACACAGAGCAGACAACTAATCCCCTTCACTTTCCCAGACTCAATCAATGAAAGTGCTTTGGGTTCTTGAGTTTGGTCTCACATCTGCAAAATCTTTTCTCTGCAGCCTTTCTCCATTTCTTCTTCGCTTCTGCAAATTCAGAGTAAAAGCATGCCCCTCCTCCACCTACCTCTAGTGTGTCTAAGAGAGCATAAGAACAGTATGCAGGTTCTCTGGGAATGTAAAAGGGAAGGAGAGAGGGGGAGGAGAATAGAGTCAGAGTGAACATACTGTAAAAATGCCTGAGAAGAAAAGGGAATGCAATACTAAAGAACTATTTGAGAATGGGAATACAGATTGAACACTCAGTAAAATAAGTGAAAACGTACTGCTCGAATGCAATTACAAAGAACGCTTATTAAATACTTGGGAAAATAAGATTTAGGCTTCTTGAAAGAAAGGCTACCAAGTTCTTTGAGCTAAAATATGTCGTTATTCGAGATGCCATAAAACTAATTTTAAAATAGAATATGGTTTCTAATTCCAATCTTTCAGGAGAAAACAGGTTTTTATTCCCTTGTCAACCAGATCGCACGCCTCCACCCACCAATATGGTCCTCAGCCTGGGAGACCCGTCCACGTGTCGAGGCTAGCCCACCCCTCCTGAGCCCTGTTTCCACCCGTCTGTCTCCTGAGCTTCGATGTCGTGACGAGCGAGCGCCGCTACATCAACCTTGGGCAACCAGATGCAGCCGCGTGCGGCAGCCTGGTACTGCCCTGAGCATGCTCAGTCAGATCCTGACCCATTTCTGCAGGTCCGAGCTCGGGGCGTGGGGTCGGAGGCACTACTTGGTTTAGTTTGTCAGGTAAGGAGAGGAAGAGAGAGACTGAGAATTACTTAAAGCCTCCTCTCTTCTTGACAGTAATCCCTGATTCAGCGACAGAGCATGCACAGTCTGGCTGCAGGAGCCACCAGGAACCTTGGTGTGTGTGTCTGGGTGTGTGTGTGTGTGTGTTGGGGGGGGGGGGGGGGGGGGAGTCTGGGATATCCAAAATATTAGCAGCCAATATGGACAAATAGTAGACACTGACTTAGTCCACCATTGTGTGGCTAAAAGAAATACCTGTAACTGGGTGATTTTTTAAAACAGAGGTTTATCCAGCTCATAGTTGGGAGGCCCAATCTCCAGGGGCAATATCTGGTGGGCATCTTGCAAAGTCCTGGTCACATCACTAGAGAGAGCAGAGCAACTGCCTATGAGTCCTCTGTTACAGTTTCATTCCTTCTCCTTTAAAACCTACCCAAACTCAGTCATGGGAGCTGCACCCCAAAGACCTGATCCTAATCTCTTTCCGAAAGCCTCACCTTTTGGTATCATAACTAAATCAAGTTTTCACTCTCTTAACTCCATCACAGCAGTTCCACACATGAACATATTTAAAATACAGTACAGGCCAATTAGAACAGGTGTTTCGTGGCCAGAAAGAATTGCAGCTATATACACGTAACATTGTAGTATGGGCACACATTGGCTAACACCACCTTGGCACTACAATCATAAGAGAAGATGAGAACCCTCAGGGAGAGCAGAAGGGAAGAGGTCACGGAACACCTACAAAAGGGTGGTACAGGGCTAGCCAGGCAGCATAGTTGTTAAGGCAGCTGACTCCTTCATGGCCAAGTACATGATTTGAGTCCTGGACCTGGCAGCTTGGGAAATATACTGGGTGCATGTGCATGCATTCCCAAAATCCCAAGAAGAGAATGGAGAAGGAATTGAGATGTGGCCATCCCCCCGGGAGTGATTTCTGACTTCCCTTCTCCTCCTCCACCGCATCTCTCTCTGGTGAGTACATGTGCCCTATAACAACAACAAAAAGTGGTACAATGGGAACGAACCTGGAGGAGGAGGATGAGAAGGAACAGTAAGAGGGGAAGAAAAACCAAGAAAAAAATCATGATAGAATGGGGAGCAGGAAGCCTCAGACCAGTAGGAATGGCAGTATGAACTGTTGAAGAGCCATCTTGTCTGTCCTTTCCCAGGCCAGACTGTTTTTGGTGTGGATGTCTATGGGGACCTGGGCAAGTTCAAGAACGGAGCACAGGGATACTGGTGACAATTCTTAAGATTTAGGAGATGGATAGAGTGACCCCAGTAGAAGATAGGATCTGAGAGGGAAGCATCTCGTTCAACTCATTCTCCCAAGAGTGACCTTCCACTCAAACTGATGTCTTCTGAAAACCACACTGAAGCCACGTTGGAGCTAGGCGAGGCTGGTAAGTTGAAATGAAGGGTAATTATCACTGAGGGTATTTCCCACTGTACACCAAGCCTCAGTGAGCAGCTGGCACACCTGTCCATCTTCCTTCTCAGACACAGAGCAGACAACTAATCCCCTTCACTTTCCCAGACTCAATCAATGAAAGTGCTTTGGGTTCTTGAGTTTGGTCTCACATCTGCAAAATCTTTTCTCTGCAGCCTTTCTCCATTTCTTCTTCGCTTCTGCAAATTCAGAGTAAAAGCATGCCCCTCCTCCACCTACCTCTAGTGTGTCTAAGAGAGCATAAGAACAGTATGCAGGTTCTCTGGGAATGTAAAAGGGAAGGAGAGAGGGGGAGGAGAATAGAGTCAGAGTGAACATACTGTAAAAATGCCTGAGAAGAAAAGGGAATGCAATACTAAAGAACTATTTGAGAATGGGAATACAGATTGAACACTCAGTAAAATAAGTGAAAACGTACTGCTCGAATGCAATTACAAAGAACGCTTATTAAATACTTGGGAAAATAAGATTTAGGCTTCTTGAAAGAAAGGCTACCAAGTTCTTTGAGCTAAAATATGTCGTTATTCGAGATGCCATAAAACTAATTTTAAAATAGAATATGGTTTCTAATTCCAATCTTTCAGGAGAAAACAGGTTTTTATTCCCTTGTCAACCAGATCGCACGCCTCCACCCACCAATATGGTCCTCAGCCTGGGAGACCCGTCCACGTGTCGAGGCTAGCCCACCCCTCCTGAGCCCTGTTTCCACCCGTCTGTCTCCTGAGCTTCGATGTCGTGACGAGCGAGCGCCGCTACATCAACCTTGGGCAACCAGATGCAGCCGCGTGCGGCAGCCTGGTACTGCCCTGAGCATGCTCAGTCAGATCCTGACCCATTTCTGCAGGTCCGAGCTCGGGGCGTGGGGTCGGAGGCACTACTTGGTTTAGTTTGTCAGGTAAGGAGAGGAAGAGAGAGACTGAGAATTACTTAAAGCCTCCTCTCTTCTTGACAGTAATCCCTGATTCAGCGACAGAGCATGCACAGTCTGGCTGCAGGAGCCACCAGGAACCTTGGTGTGTGTGTCTGGGTGTGTGTGTGTGTGTGTGTGTGTGTGTACCAAAATAGCTGAAACAGTTTTGAAAATAATAGAGGACTAGGTCTATTGATTTTAGGACTTGTATATCTACAGTACTTAAGACTATAATATGAGTAAAGAGACACACAGATCAATGTAACATAACAGAGACTCTGGACATACACCTACGTGAATATGCCCATCTGATTTTTTAAACAATGGTATAAGAGCAATTGAGTGGAAGAAGGATAGTCTTTTCAACAATGGTGCTGGATTAAATGAACATCTAAACAACACAAAATGAACTTCAATCTAAGTATTAAACTTTATGCAAAAATTAACTAAAAATATTGAGTTGTCAGAAAAGTCACAACTTATTTTTGCATAGAAAAATATCTCAAAACTTTTCTTACAACCTGATAGACCACAGTCTTAAATAACAGCATAAAATTTTCAGGAAAAAGAATATTTGTGTGCTTTCTGCTCAATTTTGCAGTGAAATTAAAACTGCTTGAAAAAATAAAGTTTAAAGTAAAAACAGAATCTTCAGAATCTATGGCTATGCAAACAGTTCTTAGAATTGACACCAAAAGCAGAATTGATAAAAGGGAAACAAATGGAGAAAAATTTGACCTGGAGGAGAGTGAATCTGTCTTTCCGGGTTTTTGCAGCAACTTAAGGAGAAGAGGGAGGAACCGGAGTAAAAGGGCGGGAGCGGGGCGTGGCCAAGGGGACCGGCCGAGAGCTGAAAAGCCGGCGCCCGAAATTGACAGCCGCACTCGAGCCTTAAAAAGAAAATTAAAAGTCACTTACGTTGCAGGATCGTACGGCAAAACGTGGAGAGTGAATCTGTCTTTCCGGGTTTTTGCAGCAACTTAAGGAGAAGAGGGAGGAACCGGAGTAAAAGGGCGGGAGCGGGGCGTGGCCAAGGGGACCGGCCGAGAGCTGAAAAGCCGGCGCCCGAAATTGACAGCCGCACTCGAGCCTTAAAAAGAAAATTAAAAGTCACTTACGTTGCAGGATCGTACGGCAAAACGTCTACAAATGATTTTAAAATAACATTTAAATCTATTTTTTCCTTGTTAAAAAACCAAGCTGTTGTTCATTAGAGAAAACATACAAACTACAAATAATGTTTTTTAAAAAGATGAAAATGAGAAAGGTCCCTGGAACCCCTCCACCAGACGCCACCAAGTGAACGTCCTGATGTATTTTCTTTCAGCCTCTTCTGTGTGTGGGCTTTGCTCTAAACGACATCAAGAACTGACAGCGCAGCCCCTCAAGACTGTCTTGGAGACGGGGTAGGTTTGGGGGTTGGTGGGTTCCCTTTACTGTCCTTTTCCTGAGCGTCCTTGGACACCAGTGCGTTGCGACGCTCAGAAAAGTTGCGGTGGAAGCCCTGGAAGCGCCCTGCCCCTGACAATTATCAACCGCGCTGCCCAAACACTACGGCGTCTGCAATAAGTGCCCTCGGCTCCGGTAAATAACTTTGGCGGGGCTGCCACCGAGGCCCCCGCCCCTGACCCCCGAGAGGCCGCGCGGTCTGAACCGGGGACTCTCCAGCCCTGGCAGCCTCCCCGCGGTCTTCTGCGGCTAGATCCCGC